CTCTGCTGTTAACATAAGCAATAGTGACTGTGAAGTTTCTTGTACCTTCTAGCAAAAGGAGGTCATTGGACCTGTTGAAGAGTCCATCTGTAAAATGTGAAGTCAGCTTTTTGATCACAGCAAAAGAAAGTAAACTATGTAGGGTGGATGGGTGTGTATGTGCCTTCTCATAGTGTCCAAAGACACTTCTGTGCCAAGGAGGGGCGGATCGGTATTCCCAAAATAGCAAGGTAAAGTCTCCCTTTGCAGTATGGCAGGGGTGAAACTGGAATCATCACACAGTTCAACTGATGGGTAAATGTTTCCTTTTGGCAGGATGGGAAGCTCAAAATCCAGGAAGAAAATGCTAAACTGAAACAGTCGCTAAGAGGGAACAGTGTCCTGACACACAAGTATGAAAGAAAGGAAATCTCCTTTTTGCCTTCTCCTTTTTTAAGTCCTGCTTCCCCTTCGCTGATTTCTGTGCTAATGGGAAGTTTGTAATAGTGCGGCTCCCCTTTCTTAAAAAGATTTTCAACCTCAGGCCCTTTGTTGAGGTCTCTGCTGCTTTTTCATAACACTCAAAGGGAAGGAGGAGGTTCTACCGCTTGCCCTCAGCCCTTCTGGATCTGAAAAGCTCTGTCTCTCTCCCAGTTCTATTTCAACTTGTGTCTATAAACCTGCTCTTGATCAATTGTTCTTACTCAGTGAGCCTTTTGTAAGCCTTTCTGTTGGTGAGGGAAAGGAGAAGGGTTGGTGGATTAGTGGTGTTTGTAGGTAATAAGCTGTGGCTTCTGGAACAGAAGAGAAGCTGCTGGAGAAAGAGAATCAAAATAATTTTCAAGAAGATGGTTGTATGAAGATCAAGTTCAGATAGCATGATTCTTAGCTGTACCTGGATCTAAATCCATTACCACTGCCTGTTTGCAGCAGCTGGAGAGGCTCAGACATTTTGCAGCAACAAGTTTAAAGCTAGGTTTAAACTGTGTTTATACCATCGAAACAGTCTTTTCTATAAACTTCTCCCTTTCTGAAGGTATTTTACTAGTTTTTCTACAGCTCTTCCCATTTAGCCAGGTGTGCTGGATGTCTAAACAGCACCAGTCACATCCTGCCACTCTGCTTTGCTGTTTGACAAAGCTTATAAAGGCCTCATCTCTTGTTCAAGCAGCCATGGCAGTGTGGTTTTGAAGAGACAAACCCAAAGCTCTGTGTGGGTAGGATGTAAAAAAAAAAAGTATGAGGAATTCTCTGATGGTCCAGATGTTTTTCTGAAATGATGCAATGAGTGAAGTACCAGCTCCAGGTGATGATGTTCTTCTCTTGCAGGTTACTGAGCAGCATGCAGGAAGAGCAGGTTGGTGATTCTTTTTCTTGCACTGAAATACTTGAAGGGACAAGGGTGCTGAGGGAGCTCCTGGGTCACTGCAGCATCTTCCCTGCCCAAATACCCCGAAGTTTGGCCTTGGGTTTTGCCTTGATGAGAATTTGGCTGTAGAGTCCATAGAAGCTATTGTTCCCTAGTAGAAAAAAACATTGCTGTGCGTGTCAGCTCTTGTTCACAATGAAAAAGGTGTTGATTTCCCACCTTGATGCTGGGCCAGCAGCCTGACACTGGCCTGAAAACAGAGCTGCATGGTCCTTGGTTCCCACAGCCGTGCTGTGATTCCCTGTCTGCCCTGTGGTGTAGCCAGTGTGACTGTAGATGATCCTGCCAATGCATGATGTGCTGTGAATAGAGGGGGGTTAAACACATGAGTACGTGAAACCTTCCTCCCTGTTCTATGATGCGGATCAGCTGCAGAGCTTTAACACAGGTGCTGTGTAAAGTAGCACATAAAGCAGAACGTCTTGGTTTTTACTTGGGGTTTAGGAGCAGCTCTCAGGACCTGGAAATGCTGAGATTTGCCAGCTCTGCCAGGAGGAAAACAGCCGGAGTAAAAGAAAGGTAACTTCAAGGACTCGCTGTCCCTGCCATATGGTGACACTGTGTTTCCTCCGATTTTCATTTCAGTAGTGCAGATTTCCTGCTGGTGACCTGGGACAAGGAAATGAGCCCTGTTGTGAGCTCCACTTTACACTTAATGTTAAAGTTGTTGAACAGTGCTTGATTGAGGGCTCCTCAGTCTGCTTGGTGTTCAGTGGTTTGTTTTTCCTTCTTCCCTTTTCAGCTAAGTGGGGTCCTCAGGGACCAATGGGAAGTGAGAATAGGCAGTGGTACAGTTCTAATTTCTCCACTTGCCACCTTGCCTTATTCTTATTTTTAGTCTCTTTTTTTGTGGCTAAGCCCCTCTTGCTTTCCTCACTGCTTTAGTGCGAATCTAGAGGGATTACAAGAGTTACCAAAAAGGGTGTTCAGTGGGAGTGCTCCACTCCACGGTGGAGCTGTGAAGCATTTCTCTAACCCAGCAGAAGATTTGGGTTGACTGAATATTCATGAGAGGAAATGTAAGTTTTTTTTTTGTTGGTCATGTCTTGAGCATCTCTATTCTATTCTCTTCCTGCCTTCCAGAACATCTGCAAGAACTGTGGTGGCATCTTCTGTGAAGCCTGCTCAGTGAATGAGCTGCCCCTCCCATCTAGTATCAACCCCGAGCATGTCTGCAATCCCTGCCATGAGCAGCTCATGCAACAGTACTCAACCAGTCCCTTGTAGGGGATGGGCTGCAGAGAGAGGTGACAAGAAATGGTTGTAGCTGATGATGGTTTCTGGGGTTGTTTAGGGGGAATGTGAAGAGAAGACTCTTGCCTGTGTTCTTTGGACGTCAAAGGGGAAGCAGCTTCATGGTGTTTACAGTCTCTTGTGACAAAAAAAAACAACATTCTGAGCCTTCCCTGTACAAAAATCTGCCTGCTCTGAGGCCTGAGCTTGTGCGGGAGAACTGCTTTGTGAATGTCATGGGAAGTAGCCCAGGATGTGCCTGAGTAGCCTCAGGACACAGTGAGAACAGACCCCAAAAAAAGAGCTGTGTGTGTGCAAGTTGAGAATGTGCTCATCATGAAGCATGTGGTGTGAAAGCATGCTGCTGTGAAGCAGAGGCTCACTGAAAGCAGAACAGGAGCTTTTTAATCCTCATGTCTGGTTGCACTTGAAATCCCATTTCTCCTTTCCCAGTTGCCTTTGACAATCTGGCTCTACCTGCTACACCAGTGCCAGGCGTCAGGAGGTGGGTGAGATGCCACTAATCCCTTCCTAGCTTCGTTTCTTTGGCTCAGCCCTCTGGCCATGGGCTTGGTATTCATATCTCTACCAAAACCAATCAAAGCTGTGAAAATTCCCCTTCTGTATTGTAAGGGGTGAAGGTGTTGGTGGTTTTGATGGATGCACAGTATGAGAACTGATGGCCTGCACTGATCTGGCATGTAAGTGCCTTATGGCATCTCCGACCTCCCTCTCAGAGACCCTCACTGACTTTGTGACTACGCAAGGGTGTAAATTGTACCTCCCACCTCGGTGTGGTAACAGAGGAATTGGAGTCCCAAGTATTTAGACACAGAAAGTGGTTTAGGGCCACCTCACCTTGTCCCCTTGCACACATGAGAGTCACCATGGAAAACCTGGTGTTTCACTTTCTGCTAGATCACAATGAAGGCAAGATGAAATCGGAATGCTTTGCACCTACTAGAAGTGGTAGTTTGAAACACAGTTTAAAGAGGTTTCACAGTTTATGCTGCATCATTCTTTGTTGCTGTCATCTCATGGAATTTGTTGTTACTCCAAAAAGCGGTGGTGGCCTCCTCACAAACACACAGCAGGTCAGAGTTGTATTGGAAGCTTATGTCAGTCTTGAAGACCACAGAATGTTTTGTAGTCCATAGAAAACTGATGTATTCGTGTAACAAAAAATGCATTTGGGTTTGTACAAATACTATTAGCGGGTAGTGGTTTAATTCCTCAGAGGGGATTTTCTGTTCAGTATCTTGGCTGGGACTGCATTAAAAAGTGTTTCAGAGCTGAGATTTTCTGGCTGGCGCTAGTTTGGACCATGAATTACTCTTCTAGATCCCTCTAGGCCTTGGTGTGTTGAGCCACGCAACTTCTCCAACTTCTCTTATTGCCCTTCACAGGGGGGGGGACACGACGACTTAATGTAGTTTTTCTACTCTTTTTCTCCCCTTGTGGCAGTTACCAGATCCATTTCCTTGCTGCTGTCCCTTACAGTAGATTAGTAGTTGTAAACAGTGTTAAATACGAAAAGCCTAGAATTTGAGTGTGGGTGCCCTCCTTCAGGGGGGTGAGACACCAGAGATGGATGGGGAAGACACCGAGTGCAGTGTTACAGTTTTGTGTATGTGCTGTACATGTTGAAAAGATGTCAAATCCCTGCACCCAAACCCAGTGTGACTCACCCCCATGGAGAAAGTGAGACCCACACAATTTCCACGTGAGAGGGTTAAACTAGAACCTGGGCCCTCCCTGTCAATCACTTTAATGCTGGTATGACCAGCACACTGCAGCTCCCAAGGGTTGTGTGCCCTGTGCCCAGTTTTTGACCATTCCAGCTGGAGCGGCTGCCACTATGCTTGCTCAAGGTGAAGGCTGTGACTATTGGTGTGAAAAATAGGACAGCTTGTGAGCAGGTCCCCTGAAGTCACACAAGATCCCTACACACAAGCAGGGAGGAGATGGCAACTAGCATGGAAACAGGCATTTTGGAAGGTTAGAGCGAGTGGGTGCTCTGTGTCAGCACTTGCCTCTTCCCTTGTATATCAGCCTCAGTGAAGGTCTCTGCTGGGACATACTGGATGCTGCAGATGTTCAGGGTGTGTTTGCTCAGGTACAGCTTGTAATGCTGGAGTGTGTGTGGGCTGACACTGGCCGTCAAGCCTGGGGGTGCAGAGGGCAGTTTTTCTGATGTTCATTTTGTTCCACACAACAGTAAAAACTTGATCATCTATATCCCATGTCCTGAGTGGTCTTTCCATACCCTTCTGCCATGATTACACATAGGAGGGGTGAGGTGTTGGCTGTCCTGCTCCACACCCACTGACCTGTGTGTGAAGATCTGAAATTGCACTGGTTTGTTAACTGTGGATACTGGTGGTTTATTAACCTTTGTACTCCATAATGCAGCTGGAGACTAGAAGGGCTCCATCCTGCAGCACCTGCCATCCCTCCAGTGCAGCTGCTTCTGCTTTTCAGCACACAATCTGTCCACAGTATGGCAATACAATTTATTACATGCTTTTACACCACGCTAACCTAGATTTTATACAGTTTATCGTAGTTAGTGTGCAGTGACACTTGTCCTCCATCTTTATGCTTGTATCTCCGGAATGTTCACTTGGCCTAAAAAGAAAAGAAAAATCACTGCCTTGCTGTGGCTTATTGCTTTCCTTTTCTCAAATGCCCCACTGCATTTTATTCTGAATTACTCCCTCCAATAATAGAATAGTAGACTTTGGCATTACACAAACACCTCTAACAGGGAGATGTTTCCATGGGGGTGGCAGTCCACACACATAGGTTTGGAAGTGTTAAATTCCACTGCTGCTGGATCCCAGCTCAGGGTCAGAAGTGGTTCTGGCTGTGCTGGTGCCGCTGGGGTGGAGGGAACAGCCAGGTGTGTGCCTTGAATCCCCGGCAAGAGCTGCTCCCTGGCGCAACAGCAATCCAGAGTTGCAGGGGTGGTGGGGCACTGGGGGGTGCCAGGCCTCCCTGCTGCAGTGGGCAGCAGCAACCGGCACCCCACCTTTCCCAAGGGAACTGAAGGAAGCATTACAAGTAAGCCAGGGCCTTACTTAAGGACACAGGAAAGCTGCTTTCCTGGAACAAACACTCAGTCTCACAGCAGTGGAGCTGGGAAACCCTTCTGCCGCAGGGAGGGCTGGTGTGTTTTGAGGAAGGAGCATGACCTGATGATGTTCTGGCAGCAAGAACTGCCAGGCCACACTGCGACCTCCTCCATGGAAGGGCCACGTCCCTCATCCACCCAACACAGCTTGCAAGTTTTCTTTTGTAAATGGCAAGAGACAGTGTTCCTGTGCAACAAAGAAAGCAAGAACTGTCCTGCTACAGGATACTACCCCCATCAGCCTGTGGTTAACATTATGAAAAGCACTGCACGCCCTTTGCACTGAGAACAGGCTGGCTACCACAAGCAAGGGTGCTTGTCAGAGTGGGTGGATTAAAACATTAAGAAATAACCTGAAAAATGTTACTGTGTCAGATTCCACTGTAATTGTAAGCAACATCCCCCCAGCCTAAAGACCAACTGCTGTTAAATCCATGGGAAAGGTTTAGCCACATTTCCTCTTCCACGTCAGGGAATACAACCCCATCAGAACCTTACATCAATCATGCTAGCAGACTTTTAAAGGGAGGAGGGAAACAAAGCTCTCCCACTCCCTGCAGCAGGCCTCAGCTGCAAGGGGGAAGCTGCTGTTGGAGCCAAACCGTGCCTGGGCACCACAGCAACCGCTGCCAGCTCTGGCTGTAACCCCAGAAGGAGCTGCTGCCCTGTCACCTCAAGACTGCTATACTGTGGAAGCAGCCTCACTGGGTGGAGGGTGTAGGCTCAATGCCTGACCTCAGATAAGCCCCTTCAGTTACTCTAAATTTTAGCCTTTAAGCTGGTTGAAATCCCATCAACAGAAGTGTCAAAAACAGTAAACGTGAGGCACACGTTGGTAAGAATGGAACAGAGAGGACTGAGAGAGAAGGATGCACTTACTAATCTCAGACTGTGCCACTGTCACTAGCAGTTTTCTTTTGCCGTCGGATGTTTATTCAGGAACAATTCAATGGCACTGCACTCTGGAGAACAAAGAGAGAGGCAGGCTGGGTTTGGGTTCAGTGACTTAATGAGTTTAGTGTTTCTCCTGTTTCTCTTTTTTTCATTTTCGCACAAATCCAATGTCTGATTACAGGGTAATTTGGAAATCTACATTTAAGATGATCCCTTTACAAGGGCAGTTAACAGCAGCTTGACAAGTTGTGCCCATATGCCAAATTACCCAAGGTCTGTAACATCCCTTGTCTTCACTTACGCAGCTGGGACCCCTCCTTGGCCATTGCAGCCACTGCGTCCTCATGGCTCTCAAAATGCACGTCCACTTCTCCTGTGGCATCTCCATGGGAGTTGTATTCTATCAGGATCCTTGTGGGCTTCAGAGGAGCAAAAAACTGAAAAGGAGTTTTGTAAGGAAGAAAGAGAACAAGAACATGCCCCATTACAAAAAAAAGTGCTGTTTCTACTTATAAAGCCTGTCTGGCTGTGGGGCAGCCTGAGCTCTCGAGTAGCAGAAGGCCCCCCCCTTCTCCATCCAGGTGAAGCTGGGGCAAACCCAAGTCACCTGTCCAACCCTCTGTAAGCTCCTGGCAGAGTAATGCTTGACAGAAACAAAACTCCTCACACAGCACACATGTTCTGTAGACACAATGTCATAAAGTGAAGGTACATTCACTCTGAGACACTGCTTTGCTATTAAAATCTATAAAACCGAGAAAAAATAATTCTGAAATTCATTTTTGTACAATCAGCTACTCTGAAACATAGATAAGATTATAAATGGCTACTCGAGCCGAAGTGACAGACATTAGGACAGCCCCACAAGCTTTAATCCACTGGTATTTAGAGAGACGGCTACACTGGAGTCTGTAACCTACAGTGAACTCCAGTTCTCAAACACATTCAGCCTGAAGCCACGCAGCACTGAGGACTAAGAACAACATGGATAAATTGAACATTTTATACCACTTATAGGATCATAGGAATCACAGGATAGTTTGGGCTGGAAGGGACCTTAAAGCTCATTTAGTTCCAACCCCCTGCCAGGGGCATGGCCATCTGTGACAATTAATCAAGGGTTTCCATTGGTAATGACTACCAAATGTCATTCATAGCTTTGCTGTTACTTACACTTATAATGTCTTGGGCACTAGCTTGGTTAGGGAAACCCTTCATATGAACAAAGTGCAGTGGTGATGAGACACTCCCAGATTGTACAACGTGCCTAGAGCTTTCCATTCCTTCCCTGCACAATTCTGTGGAATGGAGGAAAAAAACCCATCATAAATGCTGGCAATGATGACCAACCTCACGTGAAAGCTGTAAACAAACAGGGTAAGAAATGGGCCTCAGAGAACACACACAACAGCGGGGGGACTCACTATTTCCTCTTTCAGCATCGGAGCCGCCCATGTCACTCGATTCCCTTTCTTCAGAAATGTATTCATGTTCTCTTTTCACTCTGTGGTAGGTCACTGGCTGCCTGTCATAAGGCAAATGCTTTTGCATTTGATGCTTCCTACTCACATACACTTCTATGTATCTGGAATGCAAAGGAAAAGATTACATGGCACATCTTGCACCTCTGCAGAGAACCCAAGGTTTTGAGAACGCACCTTCAGGATGTTATCCCATCCCAACTCTGCTCACGTATGAGGTGTGAAAGCCATAATATGGCAAGCAATGGGTTTGAGGAATTTGTGTTTATGAAAGCCCTTTTCAACTTGCAGTGACAGTCACAGGCTTACTTCCTCTGAAAGATATTTTCTTTCAGTAGTATGCATCCTTTTATGTGAGCCTATTTTCCCCTCACTGCACATCTGCAAACTGCACTTTCCAATTTCTACAAACCCCTAATTAAAACCCCACCCAACTCCAAACGAGGCAACAGGTAGGCACAGAAGATGCACAGGGTCATATTAAATGCTTCAGTGGAACTCTAAGATTTTACAGATCGCTCTGAAATTGATGGGATAAAATCTAATGTACGTGAAAGTCCTGGGTATAATACACCAATGTGTAATGCAACATTAAGGGCCCCACTTACACCACAGAAAGGAAAACAGGTTAAAAAAACAGACAAACAACTCTTATTCATAGGTTTCGTCAAAGTATAAAATTAGTTATCTATGTTTCCAGCTACCTATCCCAGAACCCCTGAACGTGGAGCTGCCTGTGCTCATCTTTCAGAGCTGGTGGCAGTACCAGCCAGACTGCACAAAATATTTAACTGCTATTCTGAAGTGATTTCCACAACATTGAAGGAATAACGTGATGAAGAGGAGAATATGGGCATCCAGGTGAGGAAGCTTCCCTCCCTGCCTTGAGTAAGGAAAGTAACCCCACGTGCAGGCTGACAGAGGCCCCAGCTCAGCACTGTGTGCAGCTGAAGGCCATTTCTGGATAAAACTGTTAGCTCAGGAAGAATGAGTAAGTTCAAGTTGACAGCAGTTTTGGCAACTACTCAATTTCTTGGCTAATCCCCTAGCACCAGAGATGTATAAGCTCGGGTGGGTGAGTAACATCAGCTCATTTGAGCGTGACAAAAAAAAATGGCAGACTGAGAATTCATTAATTTCTAGTGGAGAGCAGGGAAGTACTGTAGTTAATTCAATTACTGAGCACACCTACAGAGCAGCTGTTCTCTTTTAATATGGAGGGGAGGCACAAACACACAGAAGTGCAGCCTGGAACAGGAAGCAGGGAAACAGAAGAAAGGAAATAACACAACAAAACTTGTGTTGAAGTGAGAAAGTTGAGAGGTTTTTTGTTAAGAGACAGAACTTAGTGGCTTAAGGAAGATTCAGCAGGGTAAAAACAATCTTGTTGAGGTTTTATTTTTTTTCCTCTGAGTGTAGCTGTGGAGGTATTTAAAGGAAGTAAAAATGTGGTGCTCAAGAACACAATTTACTGGTGGACTTGGCAGTGTTTAGGTTAACAGCTAGAGCCAATGTTCTTTAAAGTCTTCTCCAACCTAAATGATTGTGGTTCTGGGGAAAAGTGATATACAGTTCTCCTTGAGAAAAGAGGGGCTCTTGGGAGGTGTTTGGCACAGGGCTCAGTGCTCTGGAAGAAAATTATTAAATACGGATTCTTGAGGAAGAACAGCCTAGGTGAATGTGGTCACCATAGAGGCCAACAACTGTATGGTGTCAGGCAGCAGTCAAGGTTGGGAATGGATTCAAGCTAGGTAAGTGGTAAACTGTGCTTCATACAACATACTCTCCAAATGGAGACACTGACTGTGCTTGGTACTAGAGACAAGGGTTGCCAAAAGTGCTGAAAGCTAGGGAATCTGGTGGAAATCTGGTGAGAGCAAATGTCTGTAGAAGGGGCAGGATCCCCGTGCACTTGTGACTGGGCAGGCGGGTTAGTGTTCGCAGCTCTGAGTGCTGTCAAACCATTGTTGGGATGAGGCTGCCTTCAGGAATACTTGAACAAATGTTTTCTCAGAGGCCCCAAATTCCCCCAAGCTACAAGTGCTGAAGGGACATCTGCAGCACACAGAGGCCTGCAAAAGGCTCTTTTCTTCAATTTTCTCACAGTTCTAAAGAACACATGACCACTTGGGTTATCTGAAGGTAAATACTGAGTATTTTGAATACTTGAGTATTTCAGAGGTCCTAAAACATTTCTTTTTAAATAAGGCACAAAGTAACAGTCTGACACAACTATGACAAAGGTTTAGTTATGATTTCTACTGAAAGATGAACCTAAAGTTGAGTTCATTTTAAGAGTAATAAAGGCAGAAGCTTTCTTAATAAATATGGGGTAGCTGAAGATTACCTGTTGCACCTGGTAACAAGCAAGCCGTAAGTCATACAGCATGCTTCATACCATGCTCTTGTACCCTCACAAACCCCAGTGAGGTACCTACCTATTTCCCATATATTCCCTGTGTCGTAGCAGGGCTTTAGCTGCCATATCAGGAGCTGCAAACTGCACAAAAGCTTCTCCTGTTCTTCTTTCTCCCCGGTAAACGAAAACTATGTCAGTTATTTTCAAACCTATAGAAGGATGGGGAAAAAAAGGCATTTACCTTGTTAGGAACTTGTGCTCATGGAGGCATCTTTTTTCCTTACTCTTCTACAAGTTTTTGAGAAGCTAATAAGGCAGTTACATAGGTGTGAAAAGAGTGCTCATGCTGGCCTACATAGCTTTTCTTAAACTTCTAGTTACTGAAGTTTATTTGCTCGGTTTGCTAGTTATCACATAAGCTTGACTGCCAATACTGAACTGACTTCAGGCTTCAAATAGCAATGAAAATACCAAGTGAATCCAATTTCTAGACAACAGAGACAACCACAGCGCAAAATTTCCTGGAATAGCTTTGTATGTTTTTTTCCCCCATGTCTTCAAAACTGAGCTCAAATTCACTGAACTTCAACTTCTGTGCTTTTGTAAAACGTCTTGGGAAGCCTGTAATCCAGTAGGTAACTGTATCTGGCATGATACAGAGCACATGCTGGGCTAGGCTATTACACTTATTTTCTTCAGGAATGCTTTTGTGTACCTCACTGCAGCTTGTTCTTTTCTCAAAGGGTCTCTCCAAGATCCTGAAGAAATGGAAATACCTGCTTCACAATGCTGCCCTAGTCATTGTGATCACTCTGCTACTATATGCCTCCAAACATATTGAACTGCTTATTATCAGCTGACAAATTTTCTATCGGTGGCCTCTGCATTTGGTATGATCATGGTTACTATGAACCTTAGTGCTACATGACTCTATGTGCATGCCTACATGGAGTAGGAAGTGGTCAGGGAAGAACTGGCTTTGGTTTAGTCTACAACTTAGAAGTTTACCTAAAGAAATGTCCATCTATTTTGCAAAATCTAGAAAGGATACTTGCTAGATGAATGCAGGCAGCAACCACCTGGATTGCTCAAACACCAAGTGTGGTACATGACCATGTGTACACATGCTGTGCGACACTTGCTCAGTTGAGAACTGGTGCAGTCACCTTCCACAATCGCCATCAAGCCACTAATACTAAAAACTCAAAACATTGCTGTTAACATGGCATATGTGACCTAGCTGTCATGATTATACAGCTGTGAATACTCCATGTTGTATTCACTTGTACTATAATGATAATACAGACATTTTTTGCTGCTCTTGATGTTGCTAAATTATCTGCTGGCATAAATACAATTGCAGACAATAGGATCTAGGTTCCTCTCTTTCCTTCCCCTGGATTCAGAAGAGTGCTGAAAGTACTGATCTTAGGTTAGCCACAAGCTGTTCAGAAAGATTTAGTTACTTCTAGCTGCAGGAGGACAGCAACTCCTCATAGTGTTTAAGCTGTTGAAGCTTGTGTGTGCTTTTGCTTTTCTCACTTAGAGGAACAACAGCATCAATTTAGAGAAGTAAACACCTCACAACCAATTATCACAGAGTAGGCTGCATTACCTGAGAAAAAATACACGATATCATCCTCAGTGGAGTTGAAGGGAAGGCCTCTGAGTAGTACAACTCCATCATTAATGGCTTGTGACTCATCCCGCAGATTCTGTAGTAAGCTCTCTACATCACTATCGTGTACTTCAAAAACTACAAGGAACACAGGCACAAAACATGTTTTCCCTCACAGTACTCAGGTGGCATTCTGCAAAACTTCCTGTTTCTTCCTCCACCCCATATCCTATGGTCCTAAAATGGTGCCACTTTGTTTTTCCCATCCAGCCCAGGAATTTAGGTATAAATGGTGCCATGCTGGCTAATTTGCTGCTCTGTTTCAAATCCTGCATCTCTCCACACTCACCCCAGCCCACTTTATTATTCAAGCAGTTCTTAGTCACTTTATCATGAGTTTACAATGTAACTTGTGCTGTTGCAAACCCACCTTTCACATAGCGGGGGCCCATGTACCTCAGGTGCTTTTGCAAGGCTCTCTGGACATCTGCTTTTGACTCCAGCTCGATCAAGGCATCCCCTCTGCGTCTCCCATCCCTGTTTAAGAGGAAGTGTATGCCGTTCTCACCATTTCGAATTCTACAGCCTAGAAATCAAGGAACACATGATACAGGAACATACGCAACTGCATCAAACACGGAGCCTTTTGATCACAGATGAAAACTGAATATTCTGCATAAGGCTATCCCCCCTCAGCAGTGCAAAACACTGTCTTGAAACAAAGGTTAGAACACTCTTAATCTTAACTCTAATGCACCATGCTTAGCATGGATAAGAAAGTGATATCCATTAGCTTCCACAGCTGTATACAGCTATGCTCTGCCTGCTCTATGTTCCTATCCCCAAGACCTTAAATGGACCTAATTTAGTTAGGCAGATTATGAAACCATTGGAAAAACTTGCATCTGCTCTCCGGAAGGATGCATCACAAAATAGTATGGACGGATCAGTCCTGCAAGGGTATGCACAAGCCTATTAATTAGAACTGGAAAGCAACACTGAAGTTTAAACTAGTATGTAAAACCCACTCCAGCTTGTTTACAAGAGGAAAGTTGAGGGGTGAAGCCAACTACACCTGCCTTTAAAGGAACCACGTCAAACTGGATTGTCTTTACTGTGGAGACATCGATTAAGAAGGAAAGACTTGCCAATTAAATATAAAATGCCACAAGGATGAGTTTTGAAGTTGATTGTTTTATATGCGTAATCATGAATAATTTGGCAGCAATAATAAAACCTCCCCTTTCTCTGGATAATGATCTTCAAATTTTTTTCAGTTAACTTAATTAACTACTGAGTGCACTACAGTGAACAGTTACAAGGAGAATTAAGTCCCATACTATCAAAAAAGGTGAGCACGTCTTCCTCGGTGCAAGAGAACGGGAATCCTTGTGCCCTGATGAGAAAGACATTGTCGTTTTCTGCCTTGGGTGACTCTTGTTCTTCCTCTGAAAGGTGACCTTGGTGGGACGGTGCATCTGTAACCTGTCACCAAAAAGAAACAAATCCCAAATTAAGGAGGAACGGGCAGCTGTCAGCAGCGGTACCCGGCTCCGCTCCCCTGTTTAGCTGGTGTACGGCAATGGGGCAATGAAGTGGGAGGGAAGGGGCAGGGAGGCGAAAGGATGAGCCCACGACGCACATGGCGCACGCAGCCAACGCCTCCCGTTTAAGAGGAATCAGTGCGCCAGCGCTCTCGCTCCTGTCCGCGGCCTCACTGCCGGGCCGCGGACATGCCAGAGCGGCGGGGGCTACCCCCGGTTCGGCGGGGCCACTCCGACTGCCGCGAACGCCGCAGTCCCCCCAGTTTCGTCCCGCGCTCCGTCCCGGCGGGCTCCCGCCGGCCGCCGCCATTTTAGTCCCGATCCTCGCGGGCTGTACCTGACTGCAAGTGCGGACGGCAGCACGGAGCGCAGCGGGAGCCCGCGGCGCGCCCAGTCCCAGGGCAAGAGCGGTAGCGCCGCTGGGGAGTCTGCGGGGGGGCGACGAGAGCAGGCAGGGCAGCAGCGGCGGGCAGCGGCCCAGCACCAGGGCGGCCAGGCCGCGGCGGGCGGCGGCGGCGGCCATGGCCGACGAGAGGGGGCTGGGGGGCTCCGCCTCCCCTTCCCAGGAGGCGCCGGTGGTGCCGGGCGGAGCAGGGGGCCTTGTGGTGGGGGGTGGCCTGCCTTCTCGCCTCGTTTCGCTTCCCCGCAGCTTGAGGCGGGGAGTGTCCTGCCGCTGCCCGTGCTTCGCGTCCTTCGTGCCGGCGGCGGCCACTCACCTGTCTGGGCAGGCCGCGGCGGCTGTTGCTCGACTCGGAGAGCTTCAGGCGTGAAAGGAGGGAGCGAAACCGTGCCCCCAGCGCGGGGGGAGGCGATGGGGTAGTCTTCTGCCTTGTGGTGTGCGGCGGCGGGCGTTCAGTGGGATGCTCCTCTGACACGGGTGAATAGAGAAACGTGGTTCAGGGATTCAGAAATTACTACTGGCTTATGCTCATGTAGAGTCTCTGTCACCACTGACATTGTTTGATATAAATGTATCTTTGTGAAACCAAACACGAAGGGGGGGGGGGGAAATCCTCGCTAATTGTGCAATGTAAAGTTTCAAGGCAGACTTAACTACGATAACCCTTTTGCACCTCTTCCCTGTAGACTTTAATATAATTGATTTTCTACCCCTTGCTCCCATCCTAGTTTAGCAGTCTGTGAGGCAGTACTGGCTAAACCTGTTTGTGAGAAACACATGCCTTCCAGATGATCTGGAAAACAGAGTCCTGTTGTACTGCTGCACTGAAGAGGGATGAAGAGGAAAGAGCCAGCGCCAGCTTACCAGGGAAGGTACGCCATGCTGAACCCGGAAGAATATTTAGGATGAAGCAAAATGAGCAGGAAGAGAAAAGGCAGCCATCCCCCATAAGACCCACACCAAAACAACACTGGAGGAAACCAAGGGAGAATATGGAGGTTCAGATCCGAGGTGACAGGCAGGTGACAGTCACGACAGGGGCGATTTTCCTCTTCTGTCGTTCTTATCTTGGGATCACCAAGAGAGAGTTACCATCTTAAACCACTGCAGACTACCACTCAAAATATGGTCTTGGGTTTTTGAGCAGAAGTCTTTCAGCCTGTAGTAGTGCTAGTCCATTAGTTTATCTGAAACCTGGAATGTTTCTTTCTTATCAGTGTTTTGAAAATGTTAACAAGCTATTTTGTCACCTTGTTGCTGGCTTTAGCTTTTATAAACTATTGCTTATAACAAAATTCCATATGACAGATTATTGCCTTGAAAACAGCACAGTCTCTTGAGAATAGCAGTCTGAACTCATGAATTTTCAAGGTAAATCAGTTTTTACACACATTTTCAAAGGAATGTTGACCTCAGTGCTCAAGCAGTTCACATTCCAGTTTTTCATAGTCTACATGTCAGATTTCTCTTCAAAACCTCTTTAAATAAGCAAGAAAATTTTGTAGAGCAAAAACTGAGATAACTATAGGAATTCATCTTGAGCACTTTATCTAGGTTGGCTTTCACACTGTAAGTTTAATAAACAGATCCCTGAATCTTACTGACTGAGGGAATGTTAATGCGCGTTCAGCTCGTAAACAAAGCAGGGTGCAAGGAAGAGTCCTTTTAAGAGATGCTTTCTTCCACCCATTTTTCATTCAATATATTTGCTTCCCAAGTACAGTAAAATACATCCCACTGCTGTTTGTCTTGCAGCTTGTCAGTGTGTGTGAATTTACCTTTAGAGAGCAGCATTTTGTTGGGCATCTGCACTGAAGTTTTCCAGAAATCTCAGCGCTTCCTTGGCAAATATGAGGGATCAAAGTCTCTGCACCTATGATCAGGGGAAAAAAAGAAATTAAAAAAATCATCCAGGGACAATAGAGTTTGCATTTATTTTCTCAACAGAACTGGTATTAAATGAAGTCTACTTATGAGAGGAAATTTGTTAATATAAGTAGAAATAAAAAACCTCAGGAGATGTCCCTCCATTCTGCTGCTGACCAGGAAGCTGGATTTATCTGCCTTGGGAGATGCCTTCAATATCTAATGTTAAACTGGTTATTGTTAAAAATAATATTGTTAAAAATAATACTGGCTGTGCTTTAGTTTGATCAGAGGAAAAAGAAAAAGCATCTGAGTTGATACTAAAGCAATTACTGATCTTATATTGGGAAACATTACTTATCACTTTGTTTAATCTGTCATCAAGAAAAATTGACTTAATATTTTTTGTTGTAGTATTTCCAAAATTACTCATTTAGCTTTAAGCCACTTGAGCAATGAGCCTTCCATAATTTTCTATGAAAGATGAGCTTGTTACACAACTGCTCATCTGCGGCTAGCTCAGCATTCAGCAGGAAATAGCATGCTTAGCTTGAGTGAGCCCACCAACTCTGGGAAACAGAAAGGAGAGCAGAATTTGTCTGCACTATAAACACTGCAGAGATTTGTGGAGCAGGCCCTACACCAATAATATATTTCTGAGACATTATCCCTAATGTGTATGAAAATTATAGCAGGAATGATAACATCTGAGCACCGTAACAGCTGTGAAGGTAACAGAGGACAAATTTATTACTCTTTGTACAGTCCAGCAATCACAGGGCTGCTGAGTTGCTCCATCCCTGCTCCAGAACTAAAATGACTCAGGACCACTGTATAATAACCTCATAGTTCCTGTAATTTCTTCATGCTCTGCACTTTTTGTAGAGAATAATTACAAGTACATACCACAATTTTGACATCATATTAATACTTAAATATTTCACTTGGTCATAAATCCTTAATGCAAAAACAAGAATTAAGATATTGATGGATGCTATCAGTTTAATCTAGAATGTGGAGAGAATATTTAGAGAGCTTAATAATTAGATACTGTATTATTTACATTTTGTAAACATTTTTGGTTTTTTTTTTTGTTGTTGTTGGGTGTTTTGTTTGGTTTTTTTTACTCCTGGTAACATATGTATTAAGTTTTGTGACCTTAATTTTTGAACTTTTTTTCATCTGGAATGTTCTGTGCTTACTGAGCTGTGCTGCAAAAGCTGGAAACTTCAAGACCAAAGCACTTTGTCAGCTGGAGGGGCCTTTCAGTGTAATTCTCTTTAGCTCTAATGTAATGGATAAACCAAAGTGGCAGACGTGAGGCCACGGGTGCATTCACAGTGCCTTCACTGGAGCAACCAAATGGTTTTACGTAAGTCGGCAGCATGCTGCTTGTCCCTTCTATGAGCAGTGTCCAAAGCAAGCGCTCTGTATGACCCTGATCCATCCCGAAGAGACCAATATTAATGTCAGACATAAAATGTCCACATTATTTAACCCTTCCTTCTGACAGTTGCCCAGACCAAGTATTTCCTACTGACTTGATGCAGCAACAGACATTTAATTTTAAATTGCCACTAAAGTAAAACATTCTGTGGGTAGAAGGAAGTGTATGGGTGGGAACAGAGAACGGAAGTTATTCATGTTCCAACATGAATGTGCCAGAGAAATCAATTTTGGGTTTTTTTTTTAATTAGATTTATGTGGCCAACTTAGTCTGACAGCCTCTGTTAAAAAGTATGCCAAGACCCATTTCATGCCTGCTTTTACTAATACAGCCAAAAGGAAAATTGCAAACGTCATGAAATGCTTTTTAATTACACCTTCACTGCCTAGTTGAAACACTTGATTTTAAAAGTGTCCTAAAACCAGTCATATAATTTTAATTTGCTTAGAAATGCAGTGACCTGGCATTCTGACTTGGTCTGAAGGACAGAGCCAGAAAAGTAGCAAATGCAGTTTCAGCATTTAAAAACCTGAGACAAGCAGATGACTGTCATTTGCCACATAAGGCATTATAGCTGAAACCCCTTAGGAGCCATGCAGAAACTTAATGCTGTGTGTGGGATTTTGCGTGTTTTCCTCTGGCCTACCTGCAGCTTTGTGGGGTTGCTGGGCCTCACAGAATCCCCTTGGGGCATGAGGGAATCTCTGCGGGTTGTCCTGCCTGTTCTGTCCCTTATCCAAAATCCAGCTGGCTTTTTATTGACCTAAACAGAGGCAGATCTTTATGTGAAATTACACCCTGGGATTGTAATTTTTGCCATAAAGACGAAGCACTTGGATATGGCTAAGGCTACAGTGGAATGTGTGGTCCTCGTTTGATACAAATACATTGTATTTTGAAGCATTTCAGGTGCTGCTGCCTGTCTTTTCCCTGGAATGTATAAACTGAGCAAGACAAACCTCAAAATTAAGAGCGTTGTGCCTGGTTTGGGAATAGGAGGTGGGGATTCCCAGAGGACAATCCTGAAACCCCCAAAACATAACAGGTATCTGTCATCTAGTGTCAGGTGGGCTGCCAGACATCTTTTGTGAGGCATGGCACACCCTCTGTTTGTGCTTCAGTGGGAGGACATGGAATTTTTAACCATGCTCACGCAAGGTGAGGTGGTTCAGGGTGAAGGACTGGTCAGTGTTTATAAGAAAAATTGGTTTTATTTTTTTTTTTAACCTCAGTAGTTTGCCCATATCCTCACTTTGGGGGTGGGTCCTTAGCTGACTGCTTGCCCTAGCCAGCTGCGTTAAAAGTTGCTCACAAACCAAACATTTGTGTTGAAATATCAGAAGCCATTTTGACATGTTGCTTATAAAAATGGTCAGGCTATTGAGTGAGGAGGGCAGAAACACTGGTTAAAATATTTGTTAATGACCGTGGTGGTTATCTCTGGGTTGGGTACCTTAACCCCTTTGCCATGTACCTGAAGAAAGTGGATAGAGAGCCTGAAGAAGCCTGGATGGCATAAATAATGAAATTGTAATGTGTTTTGAGTCCCTGGCTTGACGTGTTGAAACAAACTGCCCTGTTCTTGTACACCCCAGGCTTGCTCCACAGGAAGCAGTTTGAGATAGAAGAGGGGTGAATAATGGCAAGCTGCACTATTGTTCAGGCACTTTTTGTGGTTCCCCTGCAGCATTTGGTAGGCAACCACGGGGATTTTAGCGCCATGTCTACCTAAAAGCTGTCAGAGGCATGTTACACCAGTGCCCAAAAAGTATTGCCCCAGTGCGACCTGGAGCAGTGTAGAGGTTTACCTAAGGAAGGTGGCCTTTGGGTCACCCAGGGCTGGGGGAAATGTTTCCAGGGATCCCTGTGCTGCCCCAGGGCGCAGAAGAGAGTGAGGGTAGAGGGGCGACGCCTGACGAGAAGGGACTGTTTGAAGGGAGGGCAGGGTGCCTGCAACGGTAAGACGAGGGTGTCTGAGTGATCTGCGGCGGGGGGGACGACGCGGGCATACCCGCGGAGACGCCTCAGCGGGAGACCTGTGCCTGAGGCCTGGCGTGAAGGTAGATCGGCGGAGGGGCGGTGCGGGCCGCGGGGCCTGCTGGGGGCGATGGCTGCCGGGCTGGCCGCGGGTGGTGGCAGCGAGAGGCGGCGGGGCTGTGTCCCCGCCCCGCGGCGTTCTCTCCGCACACGCCTGCCGTGTGCTGCCGCTGCCATTGGGAGCCGAATCGCACAGAGTCCAGCCCAGGCAGTCGCCGGTCCTGCTCCGCCGCCATCGCCATGAGCTTCTTGTTGTGAGTAATTGTGGAGGGGGGTCACGGCGGCGCATGGGGAAGGGGCTGCCCCTGCTCAGGCCGCCTCTCCTGCTTGAGAAGGAGAAAAGGTTCCCTTCCTCCTTTGCTGCTCTGTCCCGCCCGGCAGGGCAGCCCGGCCGCCGAGGGGACGCGGCCGCCGCCCGCCAGCCCTCCCTGCCTCCCTGAGGGAGCGGGGTGGTCGCCCCCGCCGGCATGGCGTCCCTTTCCGCACCTCTCCTCCTCTCTCCGTCCCGTTCCGGCGGCGGAGCAGCGCCCTGCCCGCTCTCTCCGTTTGTGCCCCAGTCCCCCGGAGGAACCCGGCCGCGCTAACGGCTGTAACGGCCACGTCCCTTCAGCCGCGGGGGCTGTGAGTTAACGGCCGCTCGGGGCCAGCCGGCGCCGCTCGGGCGTTTGGAGGGCGGTGGTTGGCGGTGGAGCGGGGCCGCGACTTTCCTCACGGGCCGGGCGCCTCCGACAGCGGGGACGTGAATTTATGAGGCTTTTAGCTGAAGGCCGGAGGGACCCTGCCGGTGAGCGCTGTGCTGCAAGCCGAAAGGGATGTCATGGGAGAGGCGAGAGCAGCCTTCAGGGGAGAGCACCCGTCTGCAGGGGTCTCCCTTTTTATTTAAAAAAAATGTTTTTTTTTTCGCTCATATCAAGGCCAGTGTGGGCAGAAGGTGCTGCCCGTAGTGTTACCTGCGGTAGATAAGTTAAAACTGGATTGCATTAATGCAGTTCTGGTGAGGAGCAGCGTTGAAAAGTTAATTCCAGGTTCAGGTAATGGTCGTGCTGATGAGTGATGGGGATCTGGCAGGGACAAGGGGGTAATTCTGGTAGGGACGGGGGAGTCTGCAGCGGACAGGGTGAGATGTGGTACAGACAGAGCAATCTGTTACGGACATAAAGGATCTGGTGTGGACAGAGCGATCTATTATGGCCATAGGGGGTCTGTAACAAACAGGGGGATCTGGTACAAACCCAGCGAGCGAGGAGTCGCTGGTAGGGTGTGTGTTGCTAATAAGGCAATTGTTTACTGCGGCATAAAGAAAGCTCCCTTAGGAGTTGGTGGTGCTTTAGGTGTGCGAAGAGCCTTACATTTTGCAGTTTTGCTTCGTGGACAGTAACTGAATGAACTTTGGTCCCGCCCCTTGGGAACAAAGAAGTGGTACTTGCGACAATTAACATAAACCGGTTCAGTGACCTATTAATTAAAGTGAAGATATGCTCTAGGGAAAGAAGGGAAATCCAACCAGCTGAAAAAGGCACCCTCGCAGAACTGAGCTCCATTAAGGCCTTCGCCCTGCTGAGAGTTCTTGCGCAGTTGGAGTTACGTGCGAGCAGTTCGTGGGACCGTTGCCATAATATCTGACAGTTGTTAAAGGCTTATACTGATAACCAACAGATGTATATGTAGCTTGCTTTTGGAGAAGATACTTTATCTTGGGAACCGGAGTGTTCTGGTAAGTTGTGTTCTCATGGAGACAAATAACACTGACGCTGGCTTCCTTCTGAATTTCTCCACTGCGTGTATCTTTTAACTCTGCTGTACCAAATCAGCTCGCCTGTTGTTGTGTTACCCCAAGAAGGGTTTTGAAAGACACCGATCAACTGGAGGGTGGAAGCTGCAAATGGGAGGTGGTTACAAATGACTGTCCATGAATTCAGTCTGTGAATTCTCCTAATGAGAACCCCAGCTGTCCCTCTCCTTCATAATTCTCAGCTGTTTCAACGGAGAAGGGGGGGGGAACGACGCACAGGATTTCGAGTACAGTGGTGTCCTGGGAGTCTGGTTTACAAATCAGAGAGCCTCAATCTCTGTGGCATTTGTCTAACTGGTAACAGAAGAGCAAGAAACGCTCCACCCTCTGTCACAGGCAGTAATGAGATGCTTGTTTCTTTTTCCAGACCCTTCTGAAACCCAGGAAAGCAAACCTTGCCCCCCACTTCCATTGTTTGAAGTGGCCCTGCTGGATAAAATATAGGAATGGAAACTGAAGTTACAGCATGGCAAAACTAGAAATGTTAGCCAGGCTGCCTCAGCTGTTGGTAGGGTGTTTTAGATGGCACCTAATTTGCTCATCTGCAGTCTAGAAATGGATTTTTAAAGTTTAATTTTAAAATATGCCTGGTAGGCCTCAGGGAGATCAGGGCAACTTTCTGTTACTGGGAAGTAGTGTTTGTTGTTGGTATGCTTTTTTTTTTTTTTTGGGTGTTTGTTATTGTTGTTTTGTTTTTTTAATATATCCACAAAGTTAGCATCACCTTTTGACAAACTTGAATTTCGTGTTAACTTGGTAGAGTTATTCAAAGATAGTGATTCAATATCTTAACAGTTTACAGATTTATTAGCGAAAGCTTGTATTTTGAGCTGCAAATTCCCTACATTTTCACAGTACCTTTTACATCCTTTTTCATAGTACTTTTTTCACCTCTTTTTTCACCAAGAGCTTCCTTGGTATGGAGGTGGTAGAGTTGATTGTCCATGCTGTTTTCTCTGTGTTGGTGGTGCTGTTGTCTTTTTGTGAACTGACTCCCAATTTCGAACAAAAAATAAAGATGTGGCAGATGAAGATTGTCCTTCTGCACTTCAGACCAGAAACGTTTTCTGAACTGCAGTGAACCTGTCACACAGGTTTATTATCATCAGTAGCTGGGCTGTAGTTTGTCAGTTTGACACTCAAATATGATATCCAAAGCCCTGCTCTGCTTGGAGGTTTGCTTGTTGTCAAATAACAGGGCGATTGTGCTTGGATAACACAGGGTGCTCGGGGCCCCCCTTGCAGCCCACTGACTGCACAGTCCTTGTCCACTGACAAACCCATTGCTATTCTTTGCTGTTGCTAGGGACAGGGACATATAAAGCTACAAGGGCGGGGGGGGGGGGGTGTGGAATAAAATCAAGGCAAACCATTGTCTTCTCTTGTTATGGATAACATTACAGAAAGACTGTCTTTTCAGACAAGTCACTGAATTAATACCACTCGTTTTTGACAGCAGTTATTTTCAGCATTGTTATATTCTCTTTCTGATCTGTTTATTCCTTTCTGAAAAGACTTTATAAACCTCTCTAATGGTTGAATAGGTTATCCTAAATCTTTTGTAGTCCAATTTCTTTCTTTTTTTTTTTTCCTTAAAGTAAAACCAATTTGACTAGAAACTACTTTCAGTTCCCCCTAAACCCCCAGTTTGATAAGTTCTCTCTAAAAGGAAATTAGAGCATAGTTGCAGGTACTTGGGCTTCCATCTCCAAGGAAGAAATTAAAGATAGTTCTAGTAGGTGTGCCATATGGTTGCATGCTTGTGTTATCCTACACTGGCAAAACTTACATAAAAAAGAAGTTGCATGAAAAGCTTTTATTTTTAAAAGGAAAAGATTAACTTTTATTATTGAAGTTGTGAAACTCTCTTTTCTTAAAAAAAAACCACAAACAAACCCCAAACCATTTACGTATTAGTAAATCCCTCTCAGAAAATTCTAGTGTATAGTATTCTTAAAATGAGATTCCTTTGAGTAGGAAGTTATATATACTTTGGGAAGACTAGGAGCTAATGGAGACAGCAAATAGGGGTTAGGACAAGTAGCTGTTCAGGGTGCATGTGTTGATGAATCAATGCAAAGTTAACTTGTAACCCAAACTGGGGGAAAGATGTCCTGCTCTTACTTCTCTGTCTCATCATATAGCATGTCAGAGCCTAGCAGCTTTTTCTGATGATGCATGTGTGCCTTTGGTTCAGCAGTAGCAGTCATTTTTCTTCTTCTTAGTAGCTGGTGCAGCATTGTGTTTTGACTTTCAGCCTGGGAACAGCGCTGATAACACCAATGTTTTTAGTTGGTGCTAAGTAATGTTTACTCTGACCAAGGACTTTGTGAGTCTCATGCTCTGCCAGGGAGGAGGGGAAGCTGAAAGGAAGCAGAGACAGGATACCTGACCCAAACTAGCCAAGAGGTATTCCAGACCACACCACGTCATGCCCAGTATATAAACTAGGGGGAGTTACCCAGAAGGGCTAGATCACAGCTCCGGTTGGGCTGGGTATCGGTTGGCAGGTGGTGAGCGGTTGTATTCTTTTCCCTTGTTATTTCCTTTATCATTATTATTATTGGTGGCAGCAGTAGTGGTTTTGTGTTATACCTCAGTTACTGGACTGTTCTTATCTCAACCCATGGGAGTTGCATTCTTTCAGTTCTCCTCCCCATCCCTCCGGGAGTGGGGGGAGGAAGGAATGGAGTGAGCGAGGAAGAGACAGAGTGAACAAGTGGCTGCGTGGTTCTCATTGCCTGCTGGACTTAAACCACGGCAATGTGGGTTATTTTTTCATAAATTTAATTAATATCAAGCTTTGTGTGTGTATATATATATATATATATATATATATGTGCAGAAGGTACAATGGGATGTCGGTTTTTTTTCCTTGCATCTCTTACAGAGTAATACCAAAGTCAGAGCTGATGTGTTTGTTTTCAGATTGAGAAGCATTGTGGCCTTCCTAATTTCCCAGTCTCCTCCTGCTCTTGAAGAACATCATGGATATTTGTTGTTTCCCCTTTCTCAGCTTGGCTTGATTCTACTGCTTAACAAATGAAAGCCATTTCTAAAGTAGGCGCTGTTTTTGATCTTACTCTAGCTGGAGAGCAACCAAATGCTTCATGAGTGCGCCTTCTTCTGATTAAAGCTGGAGATGTGGCATTTATCTCCTCTTTATCAAGGCCTCCCACAGAAGACTGTTAGGCACTTCTAAACTGGAATTTTGGTCATTGAAAATCAATGTGTAGGCACTTAGAGACTGTTAGAAATGGGAAATTTATGCTTGCTGAACATTCAGATGTCTTTCTCCGTGTACTTTCATGTACTGTTTTTCTTCAGATTTGGCTTCATGAATGTAATTCTACTGTGCAGGCTGTGTTCCTAGAGTAGAGATCAGGGTAGAGGCTCCTGACACATGACTCTGTTACCTTACTGTAAAATCTGTTGTTTAACCAGTAGCATTAGTGATACTTTTAGTTTCTTTTTTGAAGAGCATTGAGAGTCAGAAGTCTCTTGAGTTTGCCTGTGAGTAAATTGCAGAGATAATTGCAGAGTTATTGGCAACTTTTTAAAGATTTTTTTCTTTTTTTCTGTAAGTCTTGGTTACAGTAGCTTTGAGGGAAGCAAAAGGATTCCTTAGAGAGTAGAGTTCCTGTGGAATCAGCTCTGACAGTGAACTTCACAGAAAGCAGAAATTATTTTTTTTCTCTTTTTATTTTTTATTTTGGTAGCTGTCTCTAGCTTTCATTGGTAGTACTAGCCTTACAGTTGGGCTCAGTGATCTTAAGGGTCTTTTCCAATCTAAGTGATTCTAGGATTCATTGAATTAGTGACTGTCAAAAAACATGCTCTTACCTGAAAATTGTGTTTCATGTTATTGAAGCCCATCACTTCACTTGC